AAAATACTTTTATTGGATTCTCTTAAAATTCTCTTTAAAGTAATAGTGCTCTTTTTTTTATTTTTCTAAAATTAATTATGTTTTATAATTATTTTTGCTTTAACATTTATTGTTCTAAAATTAATCATGTTTTAGTAATCAATTTTTACTTTAACTTATATGAAAAATAAAAAATAAAGGCTCTATTACTTTAAAGAGAATATTAAAAGGAATCTAATAAAGGTATTTTTACTCATATATCTTAAGTAGTTCAAAAGTTATTTCAGTTTAAATTTTACACCAGTTTTTACTATCTATGATCATCAATCACAAATCAACCAATCATATAATTTGTTTCAAATATATTATCAGAAATATTAGGTTTCTAGCTGTGGATCATGCAGATTATCAGAAAAATCTTGATTAGATTTGTTATGCTATTTCCTAGCCTAAGGGATCATCATAAGTAGTTGAGTTTGTGTAGGACTATTAAAAGTCTGATTCTTTGGTCCTGACTTCATAAATAGGGACTTTGATTAGATCTTAGTCTGAGATTTTAGATACCAAATGTTAACTATCATAGTTCATCACTATATAATTGGCCCACTAATAAAGATTTTTAAAATTTTGTTGATCAATTTATTGAAAAAATTTATTATAGTAATTTTGTAATAAAAACTGAGCATTTTTAAAATTTTATAACTTCCGTTTTAGTAAAGCAATTTCAATTCTGTAACTTGCAAATGATATATAAATAGTATATTTTTAAAGCTATGTTGAGATATTTTTCATTTCATTTTATTAATGTGGCTAAAATTATAAATTAATCAATTTTAACAATTATTTAAATGATTAAATTATAGAAAATGACTAAAATTTACATATTAATATGAAATATTGCAATATAGTTTTAAAAGCAAGCTATTTATATACTATTTACATATTACAGAATTAAATTTGCTCAACTAAAGTAGGAGTTATAATGTTTTAAAAATATTATTTAAACAATTATATTATAGAAACCTACTAAATTTCATATATTAATATTAAATATGATATCATAATTTTAAAGCAACACAATTTTTATATTATTTGCAAGTTACAGAATCAAATATACTTTGCTAGTAAGGAAGTTATAACATTTTAAAAATATATAGTTTTTACTACTATAAATTTTTTTTAACAAATTGATCAGCAAAATTTTAAAAATCTTATATAGTGAGCTAATCATATAATAATAAATAATTTTATAGTAATTCTATTTTTAATATCAAATTTATTCTTAATCTCAGTTTTGAATGCTCACTTCCGACTATTATCAAATTGATTAAATTTACACTAATATGTAAAATACTTAATACCACTTAATATTAAGTAAAGGATAAATAATAAATTATTATTATTTACAAAATTACTTTGTCTATTCATATCTACTAATTTGAGATGATGTCTGGCTTCCACCCTTGTAATGTTGATATATACATATTGATCCATCTTTGATATTTAGCAATTTTGTAATTGGATTTGGATAAACTTGATATCATTCGAATCACCTCAATAAGGTGATTTAAATAGTACCAAAATTATCTAAATCCAATCACAAAATTGCTAGATATCAAAGATGGATTAAATTCTTTATTATGACCTAAGTCACGATTAATATTGCTCATATATAATTTTTTTTCTAGAGTAATATATTGATAAGTATATTTAATGTACAATTATAATTTGATCATAACCTAGATCACGATAAAGAATTTAATCCATCTTTGATATCTAGATTAAATTTTGGATAAACTTGGTATCGTTTGAATCACTTCAATAAGTTGATTCAAACAGTACCAAAATTATCCAAATCTAATCACAAAATTGCTAGATATTAAAGATGGATCAAATTCTTTATCGTAATCTAGATTATAATTAACATTGCTCATATATAATTTTTTTTCTACAGTAATCTATTGGTAAGTATATTTAATTTACAATTATAATTTGATCGTAACCTAGGTCACGATTAACATTGCTCATATATAATTTTTTTTCTAGAGTAATCTATTGGTAAGTATATTTAATTTACAATTATAATTTGATTGTGACCTAGATCATGATAAAAAATTTGATTCATCTTTGATATCTAGCAATTTTATAATTAGATTTGGATAAACTTGGTATTATTTGAATTACCTCAATAAGGTGATTTGAACATACCAAAATTATCCAAATCCAATCACAAAATTGCTAGATATCAAAGATGGATTAAATTCTTTATTGTGATCTAGATCACGATTAATATTGCTTATATATAATTTTTTTCTAGAGTAATCTATTGGTAAGTATATTTAATTTACAATTATTTTTTAAACTATTTGAAATTCAGGGCAAATCTGCCCTGAAATTTTTTGACAATCATGTGTATTATAAATACACAAAAAATAATAATATAAATTATACAATATATTATAAATAAATTTTTTTTTTGTTAATAATGCTTGTGGTTTCATTTTTAGTTTTGTCATCAGTTTTATTCTCAAATTCTTCTTCAGTATTATCATCTGTAGGATCATTGATTGTGATTTCATTCTCAATTTCAATAATTATTCATGTAAACTCAAAGATATATGAGTCATTATCTTCAATATCTGTACTTATATTCATCTAAAAATAAGAATGTAAAAAAAAATAACGATAAATAAAAGTGAAAATAATAACAATAAGTAAGGTTACGTAGAAGATGATCAAATCTGAATGATCGATCTGATGATTATAATTTCTGTACAATGCAAAAAATTTATGAATGTCTAAATAGAGCAAAATCAGGATTTTATAAATTTCTAAATTAGGATTTTTTAAAACCTTAATTACAAGTTAACACAAGTGTTATATGAGTTGCTAATCAAAATTCAATATTTTAGAGCAAATTTGCAAGAGAGTAAATATTATTTAAATATTATTACTATATCATGATTGTGTTATCAGAATTTAATGATTTTGATACCATTTGATTTGTATCAATAAGACAGTTCATATGGTATCAAAATTATTATATTTGATTTACTAGATCATGAGTTATTTGCACAAAACTATCTACTATGTAGAGCTGTGTTGCAAATTGTTTTTTGCAGATATCTTTAGAGCTAGTGATCAAAATTTGATGATTTTGATGTCATTCAAATCGTCTTGTTAAGACAAATTGAATGGTGCTAGAATTATTAAATTTTGATTACAGGCTCCTGATATATTGGTAAAAAACAAATTTGAAAATTATAATTTGGTGCACCTGTGCACTATGGTGCACCCTCAAGTAGGTTATATATGATTGTAAATTTTTATTGGTTGTTACCCGCGTTGGATCTTAAGTGTTTTAAGTGAATATGTACCATATCTTATAACCAAAACAACCTTATGCCACAGCTAATTTTACAACCAAGTTACTTTCATCATGACTAATTTTACAGCTAAGACAATCTTATGCCATGACTAATGCCACTATAGCAACTTTTTTAGGACATTTAAAACAAGAATACCGGTGTTATAGATTTGATATTAATTCTTGAAGGGTCATAAGCCAGACTTGTATTAATAATCTATCAGGGTTATAGTTCTTTAAAATTTCGTTCGTCTGAATTTCAAATAGACTTGTTATATTATTCACTATAATGTTCTTTCATATTACTAACCTTGTGCTTATTTAAATCAGATTTTTCTAAGCTAACTAACTAAAAACTTTTCATTGATATATATCTAAATGACAAACTTTATTTATAGAACATAGCAAAGATGACTTGAGAATAACAGAGTACTTTGAAGAATCTTTTTATTTTGCTGAGGTTCTTAATAATATAACTAAGGATATTGAGGTGATATTTTTGAAGAAGGGTGACTCATTTGATAATTTTGATGAAGCAGAACGTTATATACATCAATTTGCTAAATACTGAGAGTTCAAAATATGACTTGAACGTGTGATGATATTGGATATGGCAGAGAATACCAAGAAAGTTCATAAATGGACAATTCTCTGCAAATATTCAGACTAGTTTAAACAAAAAAATGCTAAGAAGGCAAGTACTTCAGCTCGAATAATGTGCCAGTAGCATGTTAATCTTTCACGTCCTTTAAAGGGTAATCATAGTTTTCATATTATTGTCACCATCTTAGAAGATAGTCATAACTATGATTTATCACCTGAAGCAATTCAGTTTGAAAAAAATAAGCAGTTCACAGATGAAATGTAACAAGAAATTGAATTTCTTGTTACTAAGTGTCGCTTGAGTACAACTATTGTTCATCGTATTTTAAAAGAGAAGTTTTTATCTCACCCACTATTTGCCAAAGATCTCTATAATGAGATACAACAATATCAACCATCATATAATATTATTAAAAATAACACATTACAGTTTTATGAACAACTTTTATTCAAACAACAAGAAGATTCTCGCTAGTTTGTTGAGGTTATATGGGAGGAAGAAATCAATATGCTGATTAATTTGTTTTGGATGAGTCCTGAACAAATTATGTTATGGTATAAATTTAATAAGACAATAGGGCATGATAATACCACAGAGATTAACAGATACAACATGCATCTCTCTTTATTTGTAATACAGGATGATAACATGCAGTCCCATATTGTTACTCAGGCTTTTGTAAGCAATAAGTCAACTAAAACATACCAATGGGTCCTTAAAATGACTAAGAAAGCAACAAATAATCGATGTCCCTGTGTTTTTGTGACTGATGGCGACCCAGCAATAGAATGTGCTATAACTTTAAAATATCAAGAAATGCACCATCTATTTTGCATTTGGCATGTTAAAAAAAATATAAAAAAAATGTTGCAAAGCAAGTTAGGGTGTCAGTTTGATGAATTTTATAGCAAGTTCTGGCAATGCCAAAATGCTAATACACCACATATGTTTGAATATTATTGGAATCAACTTATAAGTTTTTCTTTAGCGAAGTTATACCTTGAGTGCCATCTCTATGATAGATGGTTTGGGTAGGTACATGCATTCACTATGATGATATTTATGCTTGGCATTCAGTCTACGTCTTTTGTAGAAAGTCAGAATGTATGTATCAAGCGAGTGTTGAAAAATAGCAATACATCATTATGTGATCTAGGTAAAGTGTTAATGGAGCGAGGTAGAGAGGAACAAAAAAGAAAGCAGTTTGAGGAGTGGAAAAGGAATATTCCTTCTATGGTAAATACAACCACCATTTTTTCTACAATCAAGCCTTTAGTTAAGCATTATTTGAGACCGAATATTGTGCATTTTTTATTAGAACAAATGAAGGAAAGCTTATACTATACTGCTCATCATGCTACAATTGAAGAAATTGAGTTGCTTATCTCTTATGAACCTTTACAAAATGAAGATATAGATGATGAGCCTAACGCAGTTATTTTGTGTGCTATGTATTTGTTGGAGCATTTAGAACAAAACTCGATCATGGAGATCTGGAAAATATCAAGAGTTACAAGCTATGGGATCAACCATTTCATATTTCTTCTTGCAGATGGTTCATATAGTTGTACTTGCCTTTTGCAACAAAAGCAAGGGCTTGTGTATCGTCATTTTTACCATCTTCTAAATATTACTGATAAGGTACAATTTAGTTTACAATTGATTGCACCACATTGGATTTCTAAACATCAAAGGTTAGATACAGCAAAAGAATGCACACATTTTGGTCAACATTTCAATAATGTAAAAAATACAAATACTGATACTGATATGACCCTGAGAGGCAATATGAATCAGCATATATAGTTGTAACCGTTTACTAGTGAAGAAATGAAAGAGATTATAAATAATAATTTTGTCAATGAGATGCTCTTTTATGAAGAAGTTTGGGGTCTTGCACATACTGCTATCAATAAATGTATGTTATATCGTGATAATGAGTTTGTTTCTTTAATTGAAGATTATCTGAATAAAGTTAGTGCTAGAGAGGAGGAATTGATCAGAGCACAAGAAGACATGACTAGTGCTTCAACTAATCAAAATGATAACACAGAGATTAGTACGATTCAACTTGTGAATCCCCGGAAGGTGGCTGTTAAGGGACGACCAAAGGCAGTACATCATCATAATAAGAATATCACAAAGGTTACATCACAGGAAGCAAGTAAGAAAAAACGTGGGCAATATACTTGTGGATATTGTAAAGAAGCAGGTCACAATATTGCGACTTGTCCGAATAAAACATAAAGGTAAATATGAAGTAGAGTAAGGAAAATTGATATGGGTTGGTGATTGTTTATTTCTTGTTATGTAAAGTTTACATATATCGATTACACTACGTAGTATTTTATTTGGTTAAATAATACTTTAGATTATTATAATTAGGTATATACGTATGTATTTAGATTAAATGAAGGGCTATTAGTAATACTATATAGAAAGCTGTTGGATTGGTCTACGTACAAAGTATTGCATGTCAAGTATCTTCCTTTATTTATTAACTATTGTGTTTGTACTTGCATTCTAATAGTCTTTTTAGTAGTGCTGTTTTGTATTATTATGAACCGTAGTGATCTTTCTTTGCATTGTTGTTTTTTTTTATATTGCGCTTACAGAATGATTGGTATGAGCTTATAGAATTTTATAGAGTATCAATTGGTAATTTAACTTTTTTAAATATTTACTTTCTTATGATTAGGGTTAGTATGTATGCTATAAGTTCTTAAAAGGTAGGTTTGTAATAAAATACCTTGGTCTGTTGAGTATTAGCGGAAACTTCGTTTCCACTTGTACACATATAGATCAGGATATTTTTGCTAAATACCTCATGATTTTGATATAGTAATTGGGTATTTTATGTTCATTTTAGTATTATCACAATGCGAAAGATATATAATAGTATATAGTGCTGTAAGGAATTTATTACGAGTAATGGGTTAATTATGTTTAGAGTTAGCATATGTGCTAAAAGTTTAGTAGGTTATAGGTAATTA